AGATGACTTGTGGCCGAGTTGACTTGTGGCCGAGTTGACTTGTGGCCGAGTTGACTTGTGGCCGAGTTGACTTGTGGCCGAGTTGACTTGTGGCCGAGTTGACTTGTGGCCGAGTTGACTTGTGGCCGAGTTGACTTGTGGCCGAGTTGACTTGTGGCCGAGTTGACTTGTGGCCGAGTTGACTTGTGGCCGAGTTGACTTGTGGCCGAGTTGACTTGTGGCCGAGTTGACTTGTGGCCGAGTTGACTTGTGGCCGAGTTGACTTGTGGCCGAGTTGACTTGTGGCCGAGTTGACTTGTGGCCGAGTTGACTTGTGGCCGAGTTGACTTGTGGCCGAGTTGACTTGTGGCCGAGTTGACTTGTGGCCGAGTTGACTTGTGGCCGAGTTGACTTGTGGCCGAGTTGACTTGTGGCCGAGTTGACTTGTGGCCGAGTTGACTTGTGGCCGAGTTGACTTGTGGCCGGAACTTTTTGTGGCCGAGTTGATTTGTGGCCGAGTTGACTTGTGGCCGAGTTGACTTGTGGCCGAGTTGACTTGTGGCCGAGTTGACTGTGGCCGAGTTGACTTGTGGCCGAGTTGACCTGCACCCTCTTCAGACTATTTGGTGTTTTCTCTGTCATCCCCGTAACACACACACACAAAATGTAAGTATGCGTGGGCTTAGGCCTAGGCTAGGCTAAGTTTGGGAAAATTACTGCTATCTTCTTAGATTCATGGCAGTAGACACGTGTAGGATGTTAGTTCCAGTCTGCAATGTGGTACTGACATCTAGAGGCCTAGCTGGGGAATTTCCTGTCTAGCCTAGGCTAGGAAACTCCTACTGTCTGGGTACCTAGGCCTAGGCCTAGTCTACCTGGCCCGGCTCACCTAGGCTACTGTAAGCATCTCTCCTAGCGTTCTACTAGGGCTAACTGGGTTAAGGGTTAACTGTAATGTTTAGGGCCTTGCTTAGTGGCAAATTATGAGGCCCTTGCAACTACGTGCTGGTCCATCAGCTTGAATCAGAGAGAGATATGACCACTTTTTCTCCAGCTTCATCACTATCATCAACATAATTAAAGGTAAGCCTAACTAGGCCTAGGCCTAAGTCATATCTGTCATTATCATCATTATCTTCAGCTTCATCACTCAGCTTGACTCTGAGTTTCATCATACACTAGGCCTACCCTAATCAGGCATCGTCAGTTTCTAGGCTAGCCTAGCTAGGCCTATTCTAGACACTCTTTTAAGTGCTGCCTTGTCGCGTTGGTAGATTATCACTCTTATGTTTTTTTTATTTTATGAGTGCGGGAGGATTTTTTGTTTTTTGTTTTTTGTTTTTTTCTTTGGAGGGGGGGAGGGTTGGGGTTGGATTATACCCGGAGATGCCCGTGTGCATGAACAGAATGAACATGACATCGTTTTTCGAAGTGGCAGATGCATTTAAACAACTGCCCAGTGATCCAATGGCCTACTAGGCTAGGCCCTATCCAAAACTAGGCCCAGGCCTATATTCCTGTGAAAAAATCAGACATTACTCAAGCGTCAAAGGGATGGGAACACCCTAATCATAGTTAGGCCTACGCGCCTAGGCTTTGGTCTTTACCTCGAGCTAGGCCAGCCTTTGCCTAACTAAAGTTTCTTGATGTCGTAGGTTAGTTTTTGCCCAATAACAATCAATCCAACCAAACACACCTATCACAGGGAAGACCGTCCACTTGTAATGCATTATGTAACAAGTTATTTTTAGCAGCGGGAGTCTCTCTCTGTTGCGGTACATGTGAGTCTTCATCATGCTGTGAATCAACAATCCGATCAGCCATTAGGCGGGTATCTGTAGGGACCATGGTAGGGACGGGCCGTAGTGTTGCCTATTTTTAGCCGCAGCAGCTGTGGAACACGCAAGTCTAAACGTTGTAAATTAATTATTTGATCAGTCTACTGGGTGAGTCTCTATACGGACAGACCGCGGTGTTGTCTATTTTTAACTGCAGTTAGCAAGCTGTTTATTTTTAGCAACAGTAAACAAGTTTATAATAAAGAATGGGTTTGCATTTTCAACTTTACGGCGACCCAATGTCTGATCTAATCACTTTGAAGAGTTTATAGTCTGCCAAATTCGGAGCCAATTCCTTTATATTTTGTGAGCATTTGTTTTCTCCAAAGTTTTTATGCAGTTAAAATAAATGATGCGACAAAAAAAAAAAATAAATAACAATAAAATTATTCCCGCATCAATATTTCCGAATTTTTTGATGCAAGCGGGAGTGATATTCTAATAAATGTTTCTATTTGCCCTCAGAAAAAATTTCACTTCGAACCACATTCATTCTAAAAGACATACTCAAAAAATTAAAGGTTTAGATTCATGTAAATGTTTTGGTGATTGTTTAATTGCTCAAATAATAATCCAACTGATCCAACTAACAACTGGTTTACTGACTTTCCTTGGTTGCAGCTTTTACAAGAAATACAACCCCATAGCTGTCCTTGAAAATTGAAGGACCTGAAAATAATGTAGTATACCTCCATAGATATAAAACAATGGAAACCAATCTGTGGGTCTTTGATCAGTAGATTAAGCCTAAAACAAGCTTTTAGTATTGATAACAATCATTGTCATTGAAAAGGCCTGTTTACACAAAGCCTGAATTCAGTTGCGCATAGCAGTTCATTTACACAGTGCACAACAACTGTCATCATGCACATAACCTTAGATAGTGGTTTGTTCTACAGTCTGTATGTTTAGTAAAGGATGACCAGTGCCACTGATCAATTAGATTATTTTGGTGTACAACACATTCGCAATGAGACAAATTTGGAGTCGTCTGTCTCATGCTTTCACGCTTAAGGACCAAAATGTCATGCCTAGATTTCAAAATATATGCAGTAGAACCCCAGCTTTGGGACACCTATTACTGTAAGGGGACACGCCTATAATAAGGTGACACTTTTTTGGCCACAAAACAAGAGAAAGTATATCTTTAACACTACAGCATACCCCTATTCAGAGGAACTTTTTTTTGGTCCCAAAGGTGTCCCCTTAATAGGGGTTCTAGTGTATATACTGATAAGTGTTATTCACCATTAATAGCTCTGTATAAACTGGCTTTGAAGCTCTGTCTAAACTGGCTTTGAAGCTCTGTCTAAACTGGCTTTGAAGCTCTGCCCTAGCGATCAAATTTTCTTTGACAAAAGAATGTAGTTTTATGCCCATATATAGTCACGATGTGATGTCACTAAGACCATATTTAGGCATGTTACATGTTTTGTCAAATAAAATTTGATAGTCTGGAGAGTGCTTTATGATTTTAATATATGAAATTGACAGTCTTTTATAGGGTATGGTAATGGATCAATCTCTAAGCTGGGCCATAGTATCAAGTGTGCTTACATGGACAACATTGTACAATATCATCTGTCTAATGAACCCACAACGCAGTTATGAGTGGAATTGCCGTATCCTTACATTGATTCATGCTATCGTGATTGTAACCATGTCTGCATGTTTTGGATTTATTTATAATCCATGGTTACACGATTTCTTTATTCATTTATTTACAGGACTACATTCGTTGAGAGCTATGCTACACGATGTATTTATTAAGTCCTTTATTCGAACACTGTATTTACCTTTCTTTGATGTATTATATATGATTTAACAGTGTTAACGGCTACCTTTATATATATATATGTATGCATATTATGTATGTATATATGTATATATATATATAAATGCTGTCTCTTATACACATCTAGATGTGTATAAGAGACAGGTGGTGGAGAGGGCAAACAGGTGCAAAGCCCATCTAAAAACAGCCCAATTGCATTGTCCATCAATATCGCAGGTGCAATACATGCTGTATAAAAATAAGCTACAGTATACAATAAATATTTTAACAATAATATAACAAATCATATTGTAACAATGTTAATTTGTAACATGCATTCCATCCTGAGGGGGTGTGGTGGGGGTGTGTCAAATTAGGTCTAATGATAAAATATGAAAAAAAAAATTGGTATTCTATAAATGACAAATATGACATGATAAACATTTATTGTTAATCTGAATTAGTGTGGATTTTCAAAGAATTTTTCATTATTGGGAAAAGGCTATAATGTATATAAATGCCATTATTTTTTCAATAATAATATGGGGCAACAGGGTGGGAATTTGTAATCTCAAATTATCTTATAGATTTTGTGATTTGCCTGGATATAAATAAAAATTAAATACAGAAATTCCTCTTTATTTGACATTGATTCGTTCATCTTGGTAATTTAATACATAGACTAGTACCATATTTGTATTTCTTAATGTGCTGTAATCGTTTGTCTTATTTTTTCAGGTGGAAAGTCCAACGTGTATGAGAACTTGACAATGGTGGTGTGTGTTGGATACTTCATGTTTGACCTTTGTTGGTGTTTATACTTCTTTGACAATGACACCTTGTTTATGTTACTGCATCATTGCATTACAATTATTGGCATTCTTGGATCACTGTATATGCAAAGATCAGGAACAGAAGTAAATGCATCAATATTTGGCAGCGAACTCTCCAACCCGATGCTACAGATTCGATGGTTCATGCGTGAAACAGGTCGAAAGTACTCAATCTTGTATGAAATAAATGACATTTTGTTTATGTTTACATTCCTGTTCAGTAGGATGGTAGTGGGTCTGTATTTCATGTATTGTGAATGGATGCACCCAACCCCTCTCCTTTTCTTCAAGATAGGTTCTTTAGGTTTATGGTTAGTAAGCTTTGTCTTCGCAATTCAAATTACAAGGTTTGCTGTGTATAAATACTCAAAGATGTATCATTCATGGAAAAATAGAACTCGAGTTGCTGATAAACTTAGGTCATTGGGGTCAGAGGTAGAGTATGTAGATGAACAAGGCAGCAATTGTAGCCATTTGACAAATGGAAATGCAAGGGATTATGGGAATGTTCTGTCATCTCATATAACATGTAATGGGAATGTGTAAAGCTTTAATTAGGAATTAATTATTATAATAAGTGATATAAAATGCTAACTAACCCTTTGTAGGTCAGTTAGCATGATTATGTGCTTCCACCAAATCATAAATAAAACATCAATGGGAAAATATGTTCTGCAGCTGCCAAAAGAATCATTGAACAATTGTGAGATCGTTAGGCAAGAGATACAAATAATCGCTGAAACTTTTCCTCGCACTCTACCCTGGGTATAAATCTGGCTTGTTGTGTAATAGATAGGGAATTCTTGGACTACTAATAGTAACACCTGACAACCCCACCCCCAACACATCGAAACCTATACCTATATATATATGTATATATATATACATATATATATACATATATATATATATTTATATATATATATATATATATATAAATGTATATATATATGTGTTTGTGCATAGTCTCAAAT